ACTTTTCCAGTAGCTGTACTGGCCACGATTGCCAGGGCAAATTAATCATTAATCATTAAACATGCTTGCTTTTAAACCATGTGTAATATTTACAAAGGTACACTCACCAGAGGTCCCTTGTGTGCCCCCAGGGTCTGGGAGCACACCTTGGGTGAGTTCGGAGGTTACTGGTTCCAGGTCCAGGGTGATAAACATATCCTGGCTGTTGGGGAAACCGGTTTCTCCGCTTCTTTGCTGTGAGCTATCTTCATTGTCTTCATCATTATCTTCCTCGTACCCCGAACCCACTTCCCTGTTGTGTGATTCTCCATTGATGGAGTCAAAGCACACGGTTGGGGTAGTGGTGGCTGCACCCCCTAGCATGGCATGCAGCTCCGCGTAGAAGCAGCATGTTTGCGGCTCTGCCCCGGACCTTCTGTTTGCCTCTCTGGCTTTGTGGTAGGCTTGCCTTAGCTCCTTAATTTTCACACGGCACTGCTGTGCATCCCTGTTATGACCTCTGTCCTTCATGGCCTTTGACTTTTTCTAATATTTTGCCATTTCGTTTACTGCTATGGAGTTCAGCTAGCACTGATTCGTCTCCCCATATGGCGAGTAGATCCCGTACCTCCCGTTCGGTCCATGCTGGAGCTCTTTTGCGATCCTGGGACTTCATCATGGTTACCTGTACTGATGAGCTCTGCGTGGTCACCTGTGCTCTCCATGCTGGGCAAACAGGAAATGAAATTCAAAAGTTCACGGGGTTTTTCCTGTCTATCTGGTCAGTGCATCTGAGTTGAGAGTGCTGTCCAGAGCGGTCACAATGAAGCACTGTGGGATAGCTCCCGGAGGCCAATAACGTCGAATTCCGTCCACACTACCCCAATTCTGACCCGCAAAGGCCGATTTCAGCGCTAATCCCCTCGTCGGAGGTGGAGTAAAGAAACCAGTTTAAAGGGCCCTTTAAGTAAAAAAAAAAGGGCTTCGTCGTGTGGACGTGTCCAGGCTTAATTCGATTTAGCGCTGCTAAATTCGACCTAAACTCGTAGTGTAGACCAGGCCTAAATCTCCAAGAAGTAGGTTCTACAAGTTCTTAGCTTTTGATTTTAAGACAAGCAATCAGTATTTAAACACTGCTGGTTCAAATTAGAGGCTCCTTCCTTTTGGGCTGGCCCTGGGTTTGAGATGCCCTGTGTCAAATAAGATATGTAAGCGCCTCAGACTTTCAGAACTATCCCTGTACATTTTTGGGGAGGCACTGTGGAAGGGGTTCAATGATGCCAGATAGAAGATAGGTGTGTTTGTCACTGATGGAAGCATCCCAACGTGGGAAAGGGGGCAAACAGATTTCATGGTGAGTAACACAGCTGTGGGAGATTATGCATGCATTTTGGGAGGGCAGTGCCAATGGAGCAGGGATATGCCGACATATAGCGAAATCAATGGCAGTTTTTGCCTGAATAAGGACTGCAGGCCTGGGGCCAATATTATTTATTCATTGGCTTTTGATTCAGAACAAATGAAGAATGCCCATGCACACTCTCTGAGCACCTTACCCATGACAAAACCAAGATGCAGAACCAGCCAGGACCGCCCTGGGGTGGGGGGGCAATTTGGAAAATTTGCCCCAGGCCCCGCAGGGACCCCGCGAGCCCTGGCTGAGAATCCCTTTCCTCACCCGGCGTCGGTCTGGGTCTTTGGCGGCATTTCGCTGGCAGGGGGCCCTTCAGTCGCTCCGGATCTTCGACGGCATTTTAGCAGCGGGGGTCCCTTCAGTGCTGCCGAAGACGCGGAGCGATTGAAGGGCCCCCCCCGCCACCGAAATGACGCTGCCACAGACTTGGAGCACCGCCCGGTGAGTGCAAGCTCCCCTGCTTTGCCCCAGGTCCCCTGAATCCTCTGGGCGGCCCTGGCACCAGCCCGATCCAGGTGATATCAAGCTGATAATAAATACATTAATACTGCTTGTTTGCATTCCCAAAGATCAGCAGTTATCAACGCACTTTACAAGCATGGATGAATTATCCCTTCTACTCCCCTAATTGTGCAAGCCCCCTTCCTATTCTGTCCTATTTCTACTCAGACCTCTGCTCATGTGCTCACTCCTTCAAGGCCTCATTGGCCTGTCACTTTATCATTATCATGCAATTCTCTCTGCCCTTTCACATTGTGTTGGCTTTCATTTAATTTTATTCACTGACCTTTTCCTTATTCCTAATATGTTTGTCTGTTAGTGCCTGATCTCTCAAGATAGTGAGTACGTCCCTTCTGGGAGGTATTGCTGAGTGCCTTCTGGGGCCAGGCCCTTCTGGTGCAGGGTGAAGTTCTGCCTTCTTAAGGCCAGATCCTGCACCATGAAATCAATGGCAGTTTTGTCATTTATTTCAGTGGAGCAGGATCTAGAATTAGGGTCCTAATCCAAAGCCCACTGATGTCAGTGGGAGCCTTTCCATTGACTATGGATGGCTTTAGTCTACACCCTAGATGAGCTCACATAACTCCCATTGATTTAAATGTGGGTTCTACATGTGTCTCTGATGACACAACTTGATCTCTAATTTAGTAAGAAATGTTCTGTCCAACTAATTAAGGGGCCAATTACCTCCTCAGACAGACATGTACGCTGAAGTCAATGGCTGTGGTCCCTGGCCATCTGAGGACAGAACTGGGATGTAATTTTTAATGACTCAGAGATTCATAGATATTATAGTCAGAAGAGAATGTTATGGTCATCTAGTCAGATCTCCTGCAAAACAGAGGCCATAGACTTCCACCCAGTGATTCCAGCATCAAGTCCACAACTTCTTGTTAAGTTAAAGCATGTTTTAAAGAAAGATATAAAGATGTACACCTTCTTTCTAGTCTGAATTTGTCTAGCTTCAGCTCCAGCCACTAGATCTTGTTATGCCTATCCGCTCAATTAAAGAGCCCCCTACTATCAGAAATCTTCGATAGGTACTTATCGAATGGGATGGGGGTTTAAAGAGCCATATATCTGATGAGTTTTCGAATGTCATGTGAGATGCCTTAATATTCTTTTCATTTGCTGTTGTTCTATAAATAGAGCCATGTCCCTGCAACCAGTCTATAAAGGTCACCTTATAATGTTTTTCTATCTCCTGTATTAAAAAGCAATGCTTTTCAGCTGACATTCCAACTTTAAGTCAAGCATGATGTAAGTTTGTTCCAGACTACAATGAAATGGCTGCGAACAAGATTGGTATATAACTGCTGAAGAGCATCCCATCCATAGTCAACAAAGGGCACTTCATCAGACAAAACAGGCTGCACAGATTGTCTCCAAATATTTGGTTCATGCTAAAAATATAGCACATTTATTAAAAATATATATTTATAAACATTGGTTTGAACAGACACAAATGTCAAGCAAATGAGAAAGAAAAAATAATCATGTCACTTATTTCCCCCAATATTTCATTGTTTTTAGGCAGATCTTGCTCAACGGAATTGTTTTTCCATGATTGCACCATATGTTCATTCTAAATAAAAAGCCTGTCAGTTTCAATGTAAATAAAATTGAAAAGTCAAGGAGAAAAAAAATTATTTGACCTAATGGACACAAAATCGGTGCTATCTAGCTATCTTTCAGAGTATATGGTATACATTAGTAATTCTAAATAGTGTACAGTCTCTATTGTGTTTGTATCCCAGATTGAGTTCTTCAAAGCTGCTACTTACATAATTGCAGTCATTTCCCCCCAAACCAAACCCAAATAAAAAGGGAAAGGAGCTTGTTACCGCATGAAAAAGTCTTGTTAAATTAATTGTGCTTCAGCTTTTGCTGCCTGCAGGCAGTGTTTTTATGATGTGGTAATATAGTACAGAATCAATGCTGATTAAGCAACATGTCAATACCCTACAATGTTTGTTGTCACCTTTAGCAGCCGTTTCGTCGGTTCTTGTCGTGTGCCTTCTGGCTCACAATGTTGTGTAAATGTACACAAAAATGATCACAATGAGGTTCAGAATTGTTCCAATAATCCCAAGCATTGCCAGGATGGTTTCTTCTTTGCTCTCCTTTTCTTGATTGCCTTTATCTTCTTCATTTCCACTAGTGATTACCATCTTGGTAGCCAGTTTCTTTATCCTTCTCCTCAGGCTAACCTAGAATTAGAAAAATGAGCATTAAGTGAATTATTAGTTATAATGACTTGTTTCTGATACTGGAGCCAATCTTGCAGTCCTTATCCCCATCATATTTTATAATAATGGTACATTTTAAAATAGTTTATGAAGGGTTCACAAATGATTAGCAGATATTTAAATAAATGGTTAATCAAATTCTATAGTCCAGCACTCAGAAGGTTAGTTATAACAGCCTATAACAGTTTCGACTGATGTGCTTATGACCATTCATAACACATACTACTCATGTCTGTAACATGATTATAATGTCTATTAACCTTATAAACTGTTTATAAATGTACCTTTCATATAAAGTGTGTCTCCTGACTCAGACAAATCCCACTGAAGTCAGTGGGAGCTTTGTCTGCATCAGAACAGCAAAGTATGGCCCATAAAGTGGTGGGGAAAGTTGGTTTATACTATAGGACTATGCAGCAAATGGATAAGAGAAGTAAAACTGAGCAGACCTTATTTCTTTTAATAGGAAAATAATACGACAAAAACATTTTGTTTCCTGACTAGAAGGAAGACAACAGTGACTTTGCAATAAATAATTCAGAACAAAAGCAGAGACAAAATAACGCCCCATCTTCACTTTTTTCCTTATTCTTAATACAAGATAAAAAGTTACTTGCAGCACAGTCAGTTGAGAAGTATCAGACCCTCCAATGTGAAGGATTCAGCTATTTTCTAAGGAGCAGCCTCAGATCCTGTGAGGCTCCTACAGAGGGGACTCTTCAGTTTGTGCCAGTTCCAGCTTTCCAGCTGACGGCTCTGGGTCTGTTCTGTAAGCCCCGACGTCCCACAAACCTGGAAAGGGCCATTTTGTTTCCCAACACAAAATGACCTGCTCTGCCAAGATCTGGGTTCGGGTTACATGTTACCTGATCTCTGAGGCTGCACACTGCAATTCCTCAGGGGGGGGAGGTCACAAAATGTGGTGAAAATGCCCAACCGGCATATTTTGTAGGTGGCCTTGACACAGAACAGAAGGGAGAACATGCAGTTTGGATCAGCTGTTCCCTGTCTCCTCCCCACAACCACCTGCTTAGGGTACACGTCTACACTGCTATTAAACACCTGTGGCTGGCCCATGTCAGCTGACTTGGGCTCATGGGGGTCAAGCTATGGGGCTATTTAATTGGAGTGTAGGGCTCTGCGACCCTCAGGTGCTCCAGCCTGAGCCCAAACATCTACACTGCAATTAAACAGCTTTGTAGGCCGAGCCTGAGTCAGCTGACACAGGTCACACGTAGGTATTTGATTGCCATGTAGCCGTATCCTTACTGACCAGATCTCAGTGAGGCTGGTGAATCACATTGAGATAACACGGAGGGAATGCTGGAGTGTATACAGAGGAGGGGTGAAGAACGAACACCCAGTTAACCTGTTTACACAGCTCTCTCCTCCATGCAGCACAGCAGGGAGAGTGTAAGGGTCATGGCTTGCAAGCTGAGTGCATCCTTGAATGACAGGAAGATCTGAGCCCAGGTGGGAGAAAAAGATAGAAAAGATATAGTAGATAGGGGGCCTTTAAGAAACTAAGGAAGCTGGGCTGCCGAGAGAGAGGGAGAGAGGGGGCTAGGGAGGATGAGTCTCTACTATTTGTGATTTCTGTGTATTTTCCATACTGTGACTACAGAGTGCATTCCTAATGAATACCTATAACAATATTTCAGGTTCAATGCTGGCAGGGCCTGAGCTGGTGTGAAAGGGGGTAAGCGACGCCAGTTCCACACACAATTACCTGGCTCTGCACACAAGCTAGCATTAGCAGATACACATGATAACACAATGGGGCTTAGCATACCCCACATGGTTTGCTGGAAGGTGAGAACAACTGGGTCAAAATCTGGTGGGCATCTGCGGCAAGCACAAGACAGCAGCACTTTGCACCTGGACAGAGCAGTGATAGACATTGTTCTACAGTGCTGTGACCCACCGCTGCTTCTGGTAACCTGCCCTAGGACAGCAGAGATCTCACTTAGCACCTTATGTATGTAACTGCTGCTACCCAGTCTGTGCTGCCTTAACCAGGACTTGACCCTGAAAGGTCTCAGTAGAATCTTTACAAAAAGCTTTTAAGATAAGTTAACCTTAGAACGAATTTGTATCCTCCCATTGTTGTATCATCCCAAACACATATCAGTCTGACACCACATCACAAACCTACACACCAGCCCATCACATAAATATATCATCACACCTCCAAACCATGAATCCGTTGGGTTGCCCATCTTCTCAAACGCTTTGGTAGCCATGATGCTTTCCCTATAATAAAGTGATGAAATTGGTCCCAGTCATAAAATCCATTTCAGGATTTGAGTCTCTGCTCAAGAAAAAAGCTCCAAACCAAATCAAATAAAATCCCAGGCCTGGAACAAAGGGAAGTTGCAAACCAATATTGGGGGATGTCAAGTTGTGGGCAAAAGACTTGTAGAGTAGCTACCTATAGTGGGTTCAATTCTGTGAGATACTGAGCACCTCTCCCATGGTGCGGAGCACTCTCCATTCCATTGAGTGCACTCAGTACCTTGCAGGTTCAAGCCCATTCTGTCTAGGGCTAGCCAGTGCTGTCCACCCCTCATTTTTAGCAGCACTAAATGCACTAACTGTGAAACAAAAATAATCATAGAGGGTAGTGGTCTTGATCCTGCAGGCTGCTAAGCACTGCTGGCAAAATGACTGAGACCTAGTGCCGCTACTCAGCACTCCATGTTTGCTCAATACGGACCTGATTCCTGCAATAAGCTAATCACGTGCTACGAGGTGTTGAGCGCCTTCAAATCCCTTCAATGTCAATGAGGTTGTCCCAGTGGTATTCAGCACTTTGATCCGGCTTCACCTGAGTGGAGAAGTTCAGCACAACGTGGAGAAATAAATATGCCACATTCGGTAACAGAAGCTGGGCACTGGGGGAAAATGTGTGCGCAGAGAAAGGATGTGGTCAGGGCATAGGTATTTAAATGTAATCCAGTCCATAGGTCTGTCAGTTACTCTTGCTGCCAGCTAGGAGCTGTTGCTCACTGGAGAGCGCTTATGAGCTGCACTTAGAAGAAAGCGAGAACAATGGAAGTTTCAATGCAACCGTATCTCTAACAGCCAATAGCAAAACGCCTGCATTATCTGCTGCCCTCATCTTCCTTTGTTTGACTGAATCATGAGTAACAAAGCGTCCTGTGGCTCAGCACTGCACAACCCTCATGCACTCTGCAGGCTCAAACCCAGGGAGTCTGAACTACCCACAGTACTCAATGGGCTTAGTGTGGCGAGTGCTGAACATTGCCAGCTCTCACTGCTCTTGACGGAAACAGAGTCTGAGCACCTAACAGGATTGGGTCCTAAATATGACCTTATTAGTACCTGATTTGGCCCAATCTAGCACTATTGCAGTCAATGGAAGTTTGGACATTGATGTCAATGAGAGCAGAATCAAAACTACTTTTACAAATGAAGGGACTGACCGAGCGAGAGACTGAGCATTCTCATCTCCCATGTTGTCAATGGCAGCTAAGGTCATTCAATATGTGGCAGGATCAGGCCCTTCGTCTTCACCCCTCTAGTAGGCAGAAGGTATATTTTGCTACTGCAAAACTATCTGCCCACAGTTTTAGTACAATTTGCCTCCTTCCATACAAGTCTCTCCCCCTGGCTTGCTGTGCTCTTCTTTCTTCTATCCAACTATCGGCAGCTTCTCTAGTTCCTTTGGTGCTGTGATCTCATTTGTACCATGTTGTATTGTATCTTTGAGAGCCTTACACCACTTCATTCCCTTCAAACCTTTTTTTAACGCTGATAAGTGTTCACTCTCATTGACCTCATAGCATTGACCAAAGAGGATTTAGAGAATAACTGACAAGGTAGACCAGGAAAGCAGAAAATTCAGACTGAAGATCAGCATGGAGAAAACAGAAATGATGGCAATTGGAAGACAAGAGGAAGAGGTAAAGGTCAAACTCAGGGGCAAAGAATTAGAACAAGTGGAAAAATGTGGTGTACCTTGAAGGACTGGTATTGAAGAGTGGCAATTGTGAAGATTAGCCTCCTTTGTGCAGTTACGCATTAGCCGCTAGTGCATTAGGAAAAACTCTGTAGAAGCTGGAAGACTAAAGAAATTTAGATAAAAACAAATATCAGCATATATGATACAACTCTCATGCTGATACTACTGTATGGGTCAGCAAGTTGGAATATGAGGAATGCCAAAGAATGATAGATATTGACTGCAGAAATGAACAGGCTGAGGGGAATGCTGAGTTTCAAGATGCCAAAAAGAAAAACTAAAGTGATAAGAAAATGGCTAAGGCAAGAAATAATGCTGTTACAGAAGATCCAAAAAAGATGACTGTGGTGGTTTGAATGTGTGTCAAGAATGGACCCGGAAAGGATACCACACATGGCAATACATACCAGAGTGCAAGGAACTAGAAATGAGGATGTATTGGCTAGACATGGTGAAGAATTAAAGAGGTCAAAAAGATTTAAAGATTAACAAATCTGTGAAACTGGTACAAGACAGAAGAGTCTTCATCCGGCTCTATCATTGCTGCTGAGCTGACAGGCGGCAACCAAAGAAAAAACCTTTATTCAAATAACAATACTGTTTCCCTATCCAAGAACTGATCTGTTGACATAGTATTTCATTGCATGTACAATAACAACTTGATTATTACATAATGGCCTGGTCATCCCAGTATTACCTCACTCAGAATTAATCTGCTCCCTGCTTCATTTTGTGGGATCCATTATCATTTAATGTAATCTTTGGGAAAGTGTAATATTCTCTTTACTGTGAGCAGCGGAGGAAGGCTGAGCCAGTGGTTAGGGCCTTAGTCTGGCACTCGGGAGCCCGGGTCACAGTTCTCTGCCCTGCCACAGCTGTCCTGTGTGTACTTAAACAGGTCACTTTGACTCTGTGTCTCCGTTCCCGATCTATAGACTAGAATAGCAGCACTTCCCTATCCCACAAGGACGTTGTG